TGTTATGATGAAGGAATTGGAGTTGAAAAGGATGAACATAAGGCATTCATTTATTATCAAAAATCTGCAGAGATGGGGGCATACTAAGGGAACATATAATGTTGGATGTTGTTATCGCAAAGGAAATGGTGTTGAAAAGGATGAACATAAGGCATTTATTTATTATCAAAAATCTGCAGATATGGGTGATGTTAATGGAACATTCGGAGTTGGATATTGTTATGAGAATGGAATTGGAGTTGAAAAGGATGAACATAAGGCATTTATTTATTATCAAAAATCTGCAGAGATGGGACATGCTATGGGAACATGTAAACTTGGTCATTTATACAACAATGGAATTGGAGTTGAAAAGGATGAAAACAAAGCATTCGAATATTATCAAAAAGCTGCTAATATGGAAGATATGGTGGGAATATATAATCTTGGAGACTGTTATCAACATGGAATCGGAGTTGAAAAAGATGAAAACAAAGCATTCTATTATACTCAAAAATCTGTTGATATGGGCCAAGTTGTTGGAATATGTAAGCTTGGTTATTTTTACAACAATGGAATTGGAGTTGAAATGGATAAATTTGATGCATTTATTTATTATCAAAAATCTGCAGAGATGGGGCACACTACCGCAACATCTAATCTTGGATATTTTTATCGATATGGAACGGTGTTTGAAATAATTTGAAAAAAAGCCTTTGAATTGTATCTGAAATCAGCTAAAATGGGTTACGTCGAAGGAATGAATCTTGTTGGTATTGTTATCGAAATGGAATCGGAACAAAAAAAGGCCTAAAGGAAGCTGAATATTGGTTTAAAATGTAAGCATATTTCTTAATTTTTATATAGCAAATATTAAGTAATATTTATAATTTAAAAATAGGGAAAGAAGCAAGTTTCAAGGTAAGAATCTTGTAGGTTATTCTTTTCATTTCTGTTTATATTTAATATTTTAACGTAATTTTAACAGAAATAAAGAAATTCTCTTATGCTGGTATAGATAATAATGTTAAACAAATATTTAATGATGAGAAGTATCAATTATTATGGATCCCATATGATAAATTCGAAGACATTGAAGAGATTGGAAAGGTGGATTTGCAACCGTTTATCGAGCTAAATGCAAAATTTACTATAAGAAGGCCTACTTTAATTGTCCATTCGCAATTAAAATGGTTCATGATCAGAGTTTTTTTGATGAGATAAATTTATTGAGTTTATTTAATGTTTAAATTATATATAATATTTTCTTTTTTAAAGTTGAAAACATTTTGTGAGATCGAATACAATAATCCATCGTTCTTAAAATGCTATGGGTTCTCAAGAGATGATTCAGGAAATTACATTCTTATTTAGAAATATGCGAAAAAAGGTTCTTTACGTAATAATTTTCGTGAAGTATCAAGAATGAAATGGGAAAAGAAATTAAATTTATTAAGTTGCATAATATCTGATCTTGAAGCTATTCATTCACAAGGATATATTCATAAAGATTTGCATAGCGGTAACATCTTACAAGACGATTCAGATAATGCATATATTACGGATTTAGGTCTTACATCGTCTCAAAAAATGACAATGAAATTATTGTAATTTTACCTTATATTGCACCAGAAGTTTTATCAAATCAACCTTCTACACAAGCAAGAGATATCCATTCATTTGGTATAATTATGTAGGAAATCTTAACGGGTGAAAAAATTTTCAATGGTATGAATTTAATGAAGATTTGGCAATAAATATTTGTCTTGGATTGCGACCGGAATTCGCATCCGGGGTTCCTGAATGTTACGCTGAATTAGCTAAGAAATGTATGGACTCAGAACCAAAAGAAAGTCCTACTGCTTCATATATTAATGTGTTACTTACTACTTGGATCGACGAACTTACGCATAAAAGCAGCAATAAAATAATTAAAAATCAATTCTTAAAAGTCGATGAGCAATCCTTAAAAAAATCCCTTTCCATCAGACTTGGGCGAACTATTCCTAGCAATATCTAACATTTCTTTTAGTTTGCTCCTTTCCATTAAGCTTTGGCGAACTATTCCCAGCAATATCTAACATTTCTTTTAGTTTGCTTCTTTTCATCAAGCTTGGGCGAACTATTCCCAGCAATATTTAGCATTTCTTTTAGTTTGCTGATAAGATGGATAAAAAATTACCAGGCATCGTATAAAAACATCCAGATCATAGTAAATACATATAAACCCATTAACACGCAAGAGATTGTGAAAGCATTGTCAAAATTGGCAATTGTCAGCGTTCCGGTGGATATAGTGGAAATTTCAGAAGAGTGAATTCATCGCGAATCAATAAATTAAAAAAACATGATTCTTTACTATTGTGATTAAAATAAATTGGTTCAATACCTTAGCGTTTTGAATTTTAAATCCACCTTGCATGATCTTGTGACGTAGTTTAGATTGTTGAATTTAAGGACGACCAAGCCGATGAATTAATTTAGCTGAAAAATTTTGTATTGAATACACTTATATATAAATATTTACTGTATTTATAACTAACGTTGTAAATTTTGTTCAAATGCTCTGGCATTAAAACTTTTTAATAAATTTATATAAAAAAAACAACCAGTGGATTTTTGGAATTTGACCTTTATTCAAAAATCCAATTATTTTTAAAATTGGTTACTTACTTGAAAATTCAGATTTATATAGTTTAAAGCCCGATACGTAAAAGGCAGAACCTGTTTTTAAACCCAAAAATCTATTAAAAGAGTTCTACAACAATTAATACCCAATTTCCATTCACCTGACCTCTTAATGAGTAATTACCTTAATTAGTCAGTCCTGCAGACAAGTAACCTTTAAAACCATCGAAAGAAAAAATGGATGTTCACAACAAGCCATCCACTGTAGGTCTCAATGCCTAACCGGTGACTGTTATGAGTTGTTGCCTGAAGTGCTTCTATTATCTTTGACCTTTGATTAAAAAGTTGTGAACAAACATATAGAATTAATAACAACTATTCAGTTATTGTATATAAATCAAATGTAATTCTCATTAATAGACCTGCCAAAAAAACAAGCTTTTTTTCCATTTGTTCTGCAAACATATTACAATATCTATTGATAAAAACTACCTAAACATCTATGATACATTACCTTGTATGAATTAATAAGTTTATATATGTTTTTTAAAATAAATAAAATCTATCTACAATGATAAATTATTATAAAAAATTGTGTTTTTACATAAACATAAGTGTAAAAAATGTAAAAAATATGAAAATGTAAAAAAAAAAAAAATAACAAAAAAAAACAAAAATATATCTTTGATTCTTGATTTGATGTATTACATCATTAGTATGATCAGCACAAAAAAGATCAATACTGTCAGAGGTGAAATTCATCTGATTGGCTAATATAAATCAATTGCCCAGATAACTTATTTATATGTTTTAGAGTACTTTTTGAGAACGCAACATTACACAAGTAATCATTCTTAACAAATATCATCTTTAGTTTCTAAGAAGTACTAGAAAGCTAACTTTAAAAATAATCTCTAATAATCTCTAATTTAAGAGGGATTAGCTTAGGCATGACTTTCTGCAAGAGGTAAAGAAAAAAAAGCTATGTCTAAATTTTAAAATGCACAAAACAAAAGTAGTTATTAACAAAGCAGTTGTCTTTTTTCTTAAAGCTTGAGATTTCAAGTTAGGTGTTTGAAGAAAATAAGCTTATTCACATATAAGGTCTATGCTTTATATTTAAGATATTTTTAAGTCGACTTGATTGTTAAAATGTATGAATTTATTAACTATAGATATCAACCTGGGTTTATAGATAGTAGAGTTAGTGATTCAAGCTTTGTTTTACTATTTTGACTCTACTTTATACACATTTATCTATTTTTTATACGTATATAACCAATAAATCATACATATTTATCAATTTGTATAAACTTTTTCACTTTTAGAACTGTAATATTATAAAAATAATGAATTGCAAAATTGTATGATTTGATTGATTTGATTGGCTAATAATCACAAATTGATCTTTGTAGCATATTTACCTAATTAGAGGTGCCCATGACGATCCATTTGAAACATGTGCATCTGGCTCCAAAGAAGTCATATGACAGTACACAAGCCTTCATGCGAGACCTCACCACCCCTTTCAATTAAAGTAAGATCGATCTGGACCAACCTGTTGCACTGGGAATGGACATTGACTCCATCTATTCTACTTGGGTTAGGTGTGAGGTGATGTCAAGAGAGGTGTGATTGAAGACAATATGATGGGTTTTGGCCCTGGGATAGTGAAACTGAAACATTTCTCATTAGTTCTATGAAGGCCATAAGAAATGTTAAAGTAACAAAAAGCTTTGTGGAAGGGGTTAAAGGTTATAACAAAAATGGTTGGGAAATCATGAGAAGAGTCATGATCTTGTGTGGTAGAGTTCAGAATAGGGATGGCAACAGTTGGTCATTTTTGGCTTAGCCAATTGGCTAAGCTGCAGCTATCTCGTGAACTAGTGATCCAAATTGGATAATTTTAATACTATTCGAATCATCTCAATAAGATGATTCAAATGTTACTAACATTATCCCATTTGGGGTACTGGATCATGAGATATAGCTAATGGCTACAAAACAGTTAGCTGAAAATGATCAACCATTGCCATCCCTAGTTTGGAATCATACAAGAGTCCAGTAGAATTAAGAACTGTCCCAAATAATATAATAATATAATTGTATTATCTTTACAAAATATTAATAAAGTTAATAAAGCCCTTTGACTTATAAAATATCCTAATGCTCTTTTAAAATTATACATTTATAATACTCTTATCGATTGTCTTGACCTTGTGCCAAATTAAAAAATCACCTCTATTATCCTTGAGGAACATTACACAACATAATCATTTTTCTAGTAACAATTTATCACATTTGTCCCATCTCTGAACTTGACCATAGAATCTGTCACAATACAAATCTATTTGGAACATCCCAAATTATTTATCTGGAGTGTAGTGAAGGACACTATATTATTCTGTAAAAGGTGATATATAAGGTTTGTTTGTCCAGCCACATCACATGATGATCGTTCTATCAAATAGTAACACATACCATATTCTGTTTGCCAAAGTACTCTGGGTCTTTTACAAATTTTGGCATTTTAAAGCATGATCAAGGTACTTTACATAGGCGGGTATTGTACATAAGAGGGGTATATATATTGTAAAATACCTGGGGTATATAAATAAACAAATATCTGCATTAAAAATATAACTTTATATTACGTTATCAAAAATTTAAAAGTATAAAAAGGCAATATATAAATTTGTAATTGATTTTAACTTTACAATGGATCATATTGCAAACAAATGATTTAAAAAAGCCAAGAAAACTATGTCTTCTAAAGTTTATCATTCATGGACCATTAGAGAAAAACTTATGATTTTAGAATATCTTGTAAATAATAATAATAATATATGTGAAACTACAAAACGATTTGATTTGGAACCCAAGCAAATATGTGATTGAAAAAACAAAAAAGACAATCTATTGCTAGCTGCGTCATATGTTAAAAAACTTCATTTAGGAAAACCAGCCAAATATCCTGATTTGGAAGATAATTTGTTTAATTGGATTAATGTAACAAAAGCTTGTGATAATGCAGTTATACACAATATGATTACAAAAAAGGCTGTGGCTTTGTCTCAAAATAAATTTCACTTAAGATATCCTGATATTATTCAGTTTAAATTTTCAAACAGATGACTTGATGCATTCTTTGTTCAATATAATCTTTTTAATAGATGCAGAACAACAATAGTCCAACATCTTGTACCAGATTTAATTGAAAAGCAACAGTCTTTTTTAAATTATATATTATATCACAGAATTCAACATGATTATCCCTTAAAATTTATTTGTAATATGGATGAGACACTCCTATGGTTTGATCTACCAAACAATAACTCTATTGATATAAAAGGCAAAAAATCAATTAGTATTCATACTACTGGTCACAAAAGATCTTTTTTTATTGTTATGCTCACTTGTACGGCTAATGGTACTAAGCTTTCAGCTGTTTGTATTTTCAAATTAAAAAATATTTCTCATGGAAATTTTTCACCTGATATTTATATTCGAACTAATGAATCAGGTTGGGTAAATAAGGATGAGATGTTATAGTGGATAGAAACAGTCTGGACTTCAAGTAACTATCGTTTAAACAACCCTTGATCAATGTTAATATTGAATGCATTTCATGCACATCTTATGAATTCAGTAAAAAACTGACTAGCAGAAAAAAATACAAATCTTATTGTTATCCTAGCAAGTTGCACTTCAAAATTACAACCTTTGGATGTTGCAATTAATAAAAGTTTCAAATCTATGGTAAATTTTTATTTTTATTTTTATTTTTGCTTTATTATTATACAGTATAATATTAATTTATATATATCGATATTGGTAAAGTTTAAGGAATATTACAATACATGGATATCATCAATGATTCATATTTTTATACCATCAGGTCATATTAAAAAACCTTCATACTCAACCGTACCAACTTGGGTTAGAGATTCATAGGATAGAGTTGATATTGATCTTATTAAAAGATCATTTAAATGTTGTGGAATCTTGATACAAACTGATGGTTCTGAGGATAATATGCTCTTTGACTATGATAGTTTGTTAGAGCAAAATGAGGATATGGATGTTGATGATGATGAATATAGAGATGAATATTCTGAAGATAATGAATATAGAAATAAATGAGACATTACAAATGAAATTCATAATAACAATACTGATGAAGAAAACAACAATAATGAGAGTGCCAATGAAATCAATGAAATGGATTTCAATTTTGATTGATATTTTATTGGTTTCTTTTTTTTTTTTTTATCAAAACTTATTTGGTTTTTTTTTTTATATTAAATTATTTATATTTTATTAGAAAGCAAATGCATTTATTCTTTAATGTTTAATTGTAATTTACATTATTGTATTTTAAACAAAATAGAACATTTATTAATCGCTAAAATAAATATGCTAATAAAGGTAAATAATACGTAGTCATAATTATTAATTTAAAAATCAATAGGTAACACAATACGCATAAAATTGTATATACCAAAATTAATTATAGTAAATAAATGTACCCCGGGTATTTTACAAGTCTAAAAGTTTGAAATCTAAATACTCATAGCATTATACCCGGATATTTTACAGAAATTTATGAGGGATACAATACATGGGGGGTACTTTGGCGAACGGAATACGGTATGTATAGTACAGTAAATGTAATATAATTTATAATTTAATACTCGCTCCAGACATACAATGCTATGCATTTACCTAGTGTATTAAATAATTATCACATAGTTTACTAACATAATTGATTTAGTGATTTTTTTTCTTTTGATTCTTTTAAAATGAAAAATGATCGTTAAAAGTATAAGATCCAATAAACACTCTATTCTAAAATACTGTATATGTTAATTATTGTAACCAAATTTCCATTAACAATAAATGAAAAAAGAATGAAAATCGAAATAAAATTATAAAAACTGATTAAGAAAATGTAATTGCATCAGAAAGTCTTGTAGATTTGATTTTTAATGCTCTTCCGGACACAGCAACCAAAAATTATTGAAGAAAACAAATAGTAACAGATGGCTCGATAGTATTAATAAAAACTTTGTGCTATTGCATAAATTGGAAGATTATAATCATTTTAAAAGGCAATGGAATATTTCAATAATACTTTTGCTATAATAAATATTACGTTTATTGAGCTATTTGAAATAAATAAATGATTAATTTATTACTTATTGTTATTACTTTGTTAGTCTAAATTTTTTTTGTTTGTATTTTTTTTATTAAGTTATACGAATTTTTAGTGTTCGATGTATTTGTTACGTAATGGTCAAACCTTTTTGGGTGCCAATCATCAATGTGTAATGTTTATTATTTACGAAGATAGTCTAAAGTCTGGTATGTATGTATGAAGGTGCTAATCGATTTATAAATTAAAACTCACGTGAAACTAAAAGGCTTCTACTTTCACGTCCTACTAAAGTTCCATTTCTAATCGTAACTCATACAAATATCAGTCAGGCTTCTTCTATTAAAGTCTTAAGATATTTTATATCATTCAGGTTTAATAGACTTGATTTCTTACAAGTGGCAGAAGTCTTTCAACGCATCCATATCTTTGAAATTAGTGGGTTTCAAAGTTAAATGAGTGGCGCATTTTGAAATTAATCGAAATAAACAGACAAAAATCATCATTTCAAATTTATCGGAAGTTGATAAATCGCTCATTTGTAAATAAATACGTCATCTATTTCTGTCATATTACTTTGAAACCCTGAAAACTTGACTTATTGAAGATCTGCTAACACCTAAGCGTTTAGCAGTTGTTCGAATTTATAACCCCCTAAATTTTTTTCGATTGAATATGCTTCGAAAGGATAATACTTAACTAGAGTTATATCTATATTGGTTATCTGGTCATTATTGATTAATAATTGTCACCGCAAATCGATTAGCATCTACGTACCTGGTTTTGGACCATCTTTGTAAATAATAAACGTTAAATTGATCATGCTGAAATCAATAACTTATCGAATTGGCAGAATAATCATTCGGCAAATTTTTCACAAGGTGTCCCAGGAATAATGATAACAGTTGGAATTTGATGAAATAATCATCTATTCGAACATCCGAATATTCATCGAATATTCGGATAATTATTCAACGGATCAGACCTCTAGGTAGATTGATCCTATAACTTAAATGTAATATAATACAAAATTTAATCAATTACATATCTAATAAAGTACTGGCGAGATTGTGTCAAAGTTAAAAAAAGTAAAATTTTTAAAAATTTGGGTTTAAATATAAATCTGGAAAGTATAACAAACGTAAAAACATATATAGTTAACAATAAACAAACCATGTTTAATATTTAAAAATAGAGTAAGCCTTTTTTTTTATTACTAGTATAAAAACTCTTAAAACACTATTATAATATTTTTGTATATGCAAGTTGCTTTAGTTATGATTAATTATGCACACATGTCATTTTGATTAAGACTAACCATACTTGTTATTCGTTATGCTTTAGTTAACTTTTGCCAAAGAAACATATTTTTATTTTTATAAATCAAATAATTTTCTTTTACTAATATGTGCTTTTTTAACATTGGTAAATTGGTCATATATCTTATTTTGAATTGTCTTATAAGTCACTTTTAGAAAGAACGGCTATATAATCTTTACAGATTTGTTTTCTGCGAAGTAAAAGATTTTTCTCTAAATAATATATCAATCCATAAAAAAACTTCATTGAAAAAATTCATTATAGATTTTTTTTTGAAATTCTACTAAATTATTATGTCTTTGTACTAATTGAATAAGATCATTAGACGGAGTAATAGGAAGTGACAAAATGGTATGAATATATGAAAAAATAACAGCATCAATGTAAGTCGGTAATCTACAAAAATCATAAAATTATAAAATGTAAAAGCTTGAATTATTATAACTAATTTCAAAGTAACATATTACCTTGTACCGAAAAAGTACCCATCTTTTCCTAATGTTACAGAAATTGCTTGTAACGCATCAACAGCATCCTGATATATCTATGGAACAATTATGATATTAATAACAACAATGTAAAAGAAAAAAAAAGCGTATAACGGTAAGATTATAAACCTCATCTCTGATTAATATAGGCTTCCTGGTCAACATTTCCTTGATGGCTTCATTTTTTGCCTGATACATGATTATTTTATCTAATGGCTTGGCATAATGTTCACAATACTTTTTATGTGTGTATGGCTCATAAGCAGGATCACACCAAAGAGTGTAAAGCTAAGTATTTAATGAGTAAGGGATTAAGGGATTAACTTAAATATTATGATGTATAAATTCCAAAAGAAACCCTAAGATAAATACCAGAGCGGTTTTCAATTTTGTCTCAGCCAACACTATAAATGCTTGACATTCTGCTTGATGTCGTTCATCGGATATTTTTCCGATTTTATTCGATTGCTTGATAAAAATTAATAATAATAAGATAACATACAAAAAAAAAGCTATATAGTATTTTATTACTTACAAGATTATCCACATAATCTTTTAGTTGTTCCCCGACAAGAACCTCACCAGTTGGAAATATAAAAACTGGAAGTTTCCCTACATTAAATGAATGGGAATCACGTCACAGAATAAGAACATAATGGAAAGAAAGTATTGTGCCATATCAGGATTCTATGATCAGAGATGAGCAATGTTTACAACATTCAAATTTTCTCAATGAGAGAGTTCGAATGGTGAAATGATCATCAATTTCAATCATTAGATCGTGAGATAACTTCATACAAGTGTTATAGTTCATTAAAATGTTTTTAAAGATTAATACTCGATATATAATGAATAGAATCATACTCGATATATAATGGATTCATTCGGATCTTATCGAGAGGATTCAAATGATATGAAGACGCAAAAACTTATGATTTTTTGAACCCTTATCTCTTTTATGTGAATATCTAATTCTTACCTGACGGAGATATTAAAGGCTCATTGGCATTTCTGACATCGAAATCAATTCCGCTGAATTTCAAGTAAATCTTAAGAGTAAAATATATATAATCATGAGGGTTATATATATATATATAGACAGTCAGACCCTTCTATAGTCACACTCGTTATAAGCACATCATATAAAAAACCTTTTATAAGCACATTTATTTAGAAACATATTAAAAAAACCTCTTTATAAGAACATCTTAGTAAAAATCTTTTTATAAGCACACAAATATTTATCCCGAGGGGTGTGATTATAGAGAGGTTTGACTGTATATAAAATTATTAACACACCTGCCACCTTAAACATTCTTGGTCAAAAGAAGTTTCTTGGGCTGTCTTCCAACCTGGTCCCCACATGTATAACGTTGGTCCTAAAAGTTCTCTGTTTTTATAAAGAGGTTTGTGCATTTTTAGTGGAAAATTGGAAAGGAATTGACGTATGTTTTGTTGGATAGGATGGCTGCTTAGACTCTGCCGCCATGTTTGGTTAGAAGTTTGATTGGGTGTTTGGTTGGGTGTTTGGTTAGATGCTTGGTTAGGCGTTTGGTTAGGCGTTTGGTTAGGCGTTTGGTTAGGCGTTTGGTTAGATGCTTGGTTAGATGCTTGGTTAGATGCTTGGTTAAGTGTTTGGCTATATGTTTGATTAGCTGTTTGGTTAGATGTTGAAGTCATCTTAGGAGTTCTGGAATAGATCGTATCGGTAAAATTTGATATTTATCAAAATCAGATCTATGGGGTCATGTTACACGATTAATGTCTAAATGTCATAGGTAGAGATGGGCAAAATGCGCATTGTGGGCGCATTATGCGAAAATGCGCATGATGCGCATGATGCACGTGATTGATATTTATATAATTAAGATTATAATTGGTTACCTTTGTTAGAACGATTCTCGGTAAATTTAGTGAAGATAAATATATAATTGATTTATATAAAAACTCTTTCAAGATAATGTATTTACATAGCAAATATTTAAAAAATTTTATTACAGATAATATTAATTAAATAACTGCACCGCCATTATAGTATATAAATTAGCATTAAATAAATGCAAAAAACAATTTTTATTATGCAATAAAGCACATAGTACTACAGTATACATTTGCAAATAAAAACTGATCATTCATTTTCACTATCTACTTCATTATCTGTTTCACTATCAGTTTTCTCAATATTTGAGTAATTTTCAAGCAATTCATCATTTGTATCCTCAACAAATATTTTTTCATATGAATCATTTAAGTCATTATCTGTTGGATCTAGTAATTTAATATTTCTTTGATGTTGAGGTGGTCTACTATTTACTTATGCTACTGTTTGTGTGATATCAAAAAATTCATGCTGTTGACAAGTAAGTTTATAATTGTTTTATATGTACACTAATTTCAGTAATCAGTTATTAGTTAATTGAGCTCTTTTTTTTCTTAAATATATGAAAAAGTTAACCAACTACATTTAGAAGCTGCAGATAATAAAGGAATCAAAAGGATTCTAATAATAATTTTACATAACTCAGATATTGAAATTTCAAAGTTTTCTTTCCATCAAGAGATAGGATTAATATTTTTGATTGTATTCTATGCTAATTGAAGACTGAATATGCCTGTTTTAGTTTTGTATTTAATTAGTTGCTGCCAGATAATGTTTGCATTATTTGGATAATGTTTTTGAATAAATTATAATATCAATGTCATACTATTAGTAATAAGTTTTCTCCTATAATATTTTGGATCTAAGAGATGTGTAAGTGTTATAACTGAATAATATATTTTTGTCTATCAACTTTTTAATATACTTTTAATTTGATTATTTATTTCTAAAATAAATATTTAAAATTACAAATTTAATATCTGTAATATAATAGACAAATTTAGTACAAATAAAAATTCATTTATTACCTGATTCTAACAGTTCATTATACTAATTATAAAATAATGCTAGTCATAGGGTATTTGATTCAAATAATAAAATTCCAATAACAAATTTATCTAAAATTAAAAAAAGAATCTTGATATTTTTTCAAAAACTTTAATTATTTATAGTTTATTAATTAATTTGAGTAATTTTTCAGAATTATTGTATATTATTTCTATAATAGTCAGCTTAAGTGCCAGTTTATTTTATAAGATCAAATTTAGACATGTTGCTAAAGATCCTCATCTTGTTTTAACTGAAAGTTTTAAGAATATTTAGTATTTATAGGTTGTTAATTGATGTTGTTATAAAATAATAATAGAAATTTGATATGATTAAAAATATAAAATAATCTCTTTAGTATTTTTTAAAGTATTAGCACATCATGTTAATTTTATAATATTACCAATTAAAATATTCAAACTATGTGCAACACAACTAATAAAAAACATTTTAGGAAATTTTATTTCAAGTAAGTGCTATGCTTTTTTTATTATAGAGGTATTGTTAGTGATTAAGGTTGAAATTTTTGATGATTCAACTTTAAGAATTATTTTTTCTAAATCTTTTATAATCACTTCAGCATTTTGTCACATTTTACCAGTTAGATGTATAGTAAAAAAAACTGGATTAGAAGTTATTAAAATGTAATTTGTCCAATATTGTTGAACCAAGTCAGACCATTCATTAATTATAAGACACATATTTGTGTTTTTATTAATTAAAGTTTCAGTATTACATTTAGTCTCATTAAAAACACAATTTAGCAATTTTGTAAAAAGTTTTTTTTCAGCTAGGAAGTCTAAATGTTGGTTTTGCTTATTATTATAAATCTCTAATAGGTTTCATTTCAGATAGTGATAAAAAAAGTCTACAGTAAAATACAAATTTTACAAATACTAATTCAAGAGATACTTACTCTCTTTTGAAATTTGATCTGCACTTATTGATAATAAAATAGATATACTTATAGATGTTTCTGTGTTATTTTCTTCATATGAGCTCACAAAATTTTTTTTCTATTAATGTTACTTTGGAGCATTTTCATAAATGAATACAAGCTAGTTTAAGCAAATCATTTATCTGGTAATTACACTTTTTACATTGTCTTCTTCTTTGCTTATATTCAGCCACATGTTCTAATTAATTAAAGTGTTTCCATATGGGATCAGATAATAGTATTCTCAATTCAACTAATAATTAATAAAAAAAATAATTATATAACATAAAATTATTATTAAATAAACAACATATAGCATAATTTTAAAATAGTTATCTTTAACTGCTTTAATAAGAAATATCCAAAATTTTATAAAAGAAAGACCATAAAAGAAAAGAGATAGCTGCAGGTATGTAAAAATCAGATACCAAAAATCTTGTAGTAACTATTAAAAAAAACTGTAGATATAAGAATGTATTGTGTTTAGTATTAAAAAAATAAATAAAATAATATATCTTTGACTGCTATTAATTAGTTTTTTTTTTTTTTTTGCTAAAAATTTCTAAACCTTAAATAATACAATATAAATAAATAATCATATAATTAAGTACAAGTAATAAGCAAATAATATAGCATAAGTGATAAGTAAATATAACACAAGATAACCTTAAAATAAGTACCTTTAATTTTTTTTTTTTTGCATAAAGTCTTTAAGCTTTAAGTGTGAAGAAAAATTTACATAAAAAAAAAAGATACCTATATAGATATTGCGAAGATTTAACATTGATATAAATTCAAAAAAAAGAATAATAAACATAGCATAATATTCAAAAATACTTTTAGCAGCTTTTGATTTTTTTTTTCTGTACATAAACTCAAAATCAGTCTTCAATCTTTGAGATCTTGCAAAAGCAAAGGTGAATAAAAAAAATATATATTATGAATGTATCTCAGCAAAGTGCAAGCTTATAAATTCTATTTTTTGTATATATATAAGTACACTCTACAAATATTAACTCTTACTAACACTAACTCTTACTAGCACTAGCTCTTACTAACAATAACTGTTACAAACTCTTTTTTTGTTAACTTGCAATTAGGTCATGATTATCATCATAATTATTATTTTATATAATATAAGCATTCAAGTGCATATTATATACATACAAGATTATATGCATGTACAGCATGATGTGCCTAGTGCCTATCTCTAGTCATAAGTAAATTTAGTAGATCTACATCAAAACTATTAGTGATATTATAAAAAACAAGCTTGTCAAGCAGTTTTATTATATATATTTTCTAAAAAACATCTGTTTAAAAATTTTTCAATGTTTTTATAAATGTTTTTTTTCACATAGTATTTATTATGTTAAATGTTTTTAACTTGGATTTGGATTACTATCAATTAAACACTAGTTACTTTAATCTACAAGTCTTCTTTATCACTAATTTAGACATTTTGTCATATAATATTGATTTAGTCAAATATTAACTATTTAGACATTTAGTCAAATTTAGAATTTTGACAAAAAAATAATGCCATATTAAAATATATTTTAACATAAAATTGTCTAAATGTTTGACTAAATATAGTATTTTGACTAACAATATTTAATAGCAATAGGTGTAATTTTTGACCAATTAAACTAACCAAAAAAAATTCAAAGTGCAAATAAACAATTTGTTTAAATATCTTTTTTATTTCTAAATTATTGAGATTAAAAATCCACTTAAGTGGATTCTAAACTCATAGAATTCGAATTTATCTGCTTAGATTTGGAGTTTTGCAAAATAAATATAAGTGATAAATAAATTAGAGAATAGACTAGAAAAATTCTTACTAGAGAGCAAGTGTTGAATGTAGTTTTCTTAGTCTATTCACCAATTTACCAATTTAAAACACAGTCAATTCTATTTTTATTAGGAGTCGATTAAGCTAATTTTTTAAAAAATTAACTATTTAGTTGACTAAGGCATCTCTCTCAATGTGTTTACAGAATGATCTAATTGGTTAAAAAAATAGTTCATGATTATCACAGATCAAAAAAACCTAAAGCTACAACCATCAATTTTTTTCATAGAGCTGCTCTAATTGGCTAAAATTTCAAATTCGCATTTCAAACAATAAATTTTTAATAATTTATTTTTTGATTAATTATAATAACCATTCAATATTTTGAGCAACATCTTGATCCCTAGTTAATCACATTGAGGAAGCTGTTTAAGAACACCTTAAGTCTACTAAGATGTTTTTAAACATCTTAGTTAATCTGTCAGAATAATAAATTTTAATTAGTAGATCAGAAAAGGATTTAAATTGAAAAGACCAAAAATATATTAAAATATGCATATATTATAAGATCATGTGCATAATATTTTTTAAAAAAATAGTTACAGAAGTTTATAAAAAATTGGACTGCTTAAGTGCAATCCAAATCTTGACATAATATTCCAACTACTTAAAGATTTCTTTTATATAGAAAGTGTCTAATTCAAATTCTGTCTTACAAGTATATATAGTTTTTATTCTAATTAAGAGTATCTAATTTCTAGAAAATAGTCATAGTTTATAAAAATATAAAAACATTATAGTAAACAACAATTATAGAATAAAGTTTTATCCTATTAGCAGATTTTCTCTTTTATTCTCTTTATAGATTAGTTTTGTTTTTTTTTATTAGTTTTATTTTACTTTATATTTTTATTTTTTTTTTTACCAACTTTAAAATCTTTTTTTTTGGTTTTCTTTTTCTTATGAAAAAATATTTCCAGATTGGTAATATCTTATTGTAGAACAAAAATCAGACAAGTTGTAATTTCTAGTCTTAACTAGTTTAGTATGACAGGTTACATTTAGATACCATTTAGATGATTAGATAATAATAAACTTATAAGTTAAATAATATTCTGTATTTACATATATAGTTACAAATAGTTTAATAAAATATTATTGTAATTATATAAAAGAATAAAAAAGAATAATAAAATATTTAAAATATAAATATATTTAATTAATGTAAACAATATAATAAATACATTTTATTACAAATTCATAAGAAGTTAGCTAAATAATTTCTTTTTTTGAATATCTGCTATTTTTTGTATTTTATTTGTTATTTTGAATTCATTTTCATAATTTATTTTCTTATCTATATTAATATCTTTTAAAGATAATATATTCACTATATTAATACAGAAGTTATATAGAATACAATATGTATAGATTATACTTATAATTTATTCTATATTAGTATAGTAAATTTCTTTAAGTAAAATTCTTTACTGTTCTTTTAAATATCCAAATACTTATTCTATAATTATTTACATTGATGAAAGAATTTTATTAAAATGTTTTTAATAATGAGTCAACATATAATAATTAGAATATACTTTTATCAAATATATTTAAAGATGATATATCATATTAGTAATAATGTATATATTATCTAGAACTCATTGTTTTGAATTCAAGGAAATTTTATAACAAAAAGAAGAATAATAAAATACATGAGCATTATATATATTTTCTATTATAAAAAAAATTTAATTTATATTTTTTAAAAATAAATAAATAATCATTACTAATTTATCTTTTCAATATATATATAAATAAAATGCTTTTTTAATAATTAATAATTTTAAAAAAATTAATAAAATAAAAATGTTTAAAATTGATATAATGTAAACCATTTTTAGAAGATGTATAGTTTAGTATATAAGACCTATCTATTGCTCCAACCATATTAGACAATTTATAATTTTCAAATTCAGTTTCTTTACATTTAAATTCTTATATTATTGTTGTTAGTCATAATTTTTTTGGTTATGAAATTTATTTTTGTTTCAAACCTAATAGTGCTTTTAAAAATTTATCAATAAAATAACTTACAGACTTATGGCTTACACTAAGTATCTGCTTTAATACTCATATTCTAGTACTATTTGCTAATTACTATAACACAATTGCAATTTGTTTTCATATTGATGTTGCATTCATAGCACTTGATATAAAAATTGAGTATACTTCTAAATAAAAAATTATGACACAAAAAGTGGCACAACTAATATAAAAGTATTATTAAAAAGAATTATAACTATTATTATTTATTAAATATCAAAAAATATTTACTCAAAACCTTTTGGTTTTAGGTCTTTTCTGATTTTGCATTCTTGTACTAGATAAAGAAATAATAGACAAAATAATTATATTTGTAGAAATAAAGTTAAAAGTAAGAATATAGTAGTGTTTATTCTTTGCATATTAATTTTAGAATTTTTTTATTTTCCTTAAGAGTTTTTAATATAAAAAACATTATAATAATTTTTTTGTATCTTTGGTAACAGTTTTGTTAAAGATTCATATTTTACTAAAAAAAAAAATAAATAAAAGAAATATGTTTGAACAGTTTCTATCATTATTCTATTAATGATAAATTTTAACCAATTAGTACAGCTCTATAAAAAAAATTAGTAGTCATAGTTTCAGTTTTTTTGATCTAAGTAATAATCATGATCAAGTTTTTTTAATCAATTAGATTATTCTATAAATTCATTAAGGTAGATGCTTAAGAACAGTCTAAACTAAACAAGAAAATAAAACATCAAAAATAAATAATATTTACTATCTTTTGTCTTTTATTTATCTTTGTTTATCTAATATAAGAGTTCAATATTAACAAAGACCTAAAACTAAAAGTTAATATATTTCAAAATATAATAATGAAGGTAATTACAATTCTTTTCAAAGTTATTTTTGTATTACTTTAGTAATATTTAATTTTCTTATACATATAATGTTTAAAAATTTATTCAGTTTTTTTATTTAAGATTTCTAACTTAACACTTATTTGAAAACAAATTATTATTATATTATAGTAATTAGCAAATAATATAGAAGTGTATATATTAGGACAAATGTTTGATACAAGTTAGAAATAAATATATTATTTTACAGAAAAATTTCTTAAAACATTATTAAATTTGAAAAAAAAATATATAAAGTAGTTATAAAAAACATAATTAGTAACAATTATATATAGATTTGAAAATAGTATAACAAATTTAAAAAATTAAAAATTATCCAATATTATTGATGTTATAAATAAAATATATTGTAATAAAATTTGCTAAAAACTAGCAAGCTATATTAAAATTTAAATAATATGAGTATTAAATAAAAATCATTTATTAAAG